GAAGAAGAAGAAGAAGAAGAAGAAGAAGAAGAAGAAGAAGAAGAAGAAGAAGAAGAAGAAGAAGAAGAAAGAGAGAGAGAGAGAGGGTTTTCATCATCTATGCAAGTCTGTGAGTATCCACAGGGAGATGAAACTCCTAAACTGAAAGTTTGCACATTTTGAAAGGAATTAAGTTCTTCCCACAGCCTAACCCTCCACACGACAACACAAACATACACACTTGGCCTCTGGTCTCCTTTATGTTGTGTCCCTGTGAAAACAAAACTCAGGCTTGCAAAAAGTCTCCACAGGAAAGGGAAGCCTCTAAGGGAGGCAACAAGCTGGCCAGGAGCCATGCCTGTGTGTTAGCCACACACAGCCTACAGCCCCATTAGTGCCGTGGTCCCAGGGACCTTACACACGTGCTTCTGCAGATGAGCCACCATCTATTAATGCAACGCTCTGCAGGGTGCGGCGCAGTAAATTATAATGGGTGAAATTTATAAACTGAGATGGTACTTGCAGGAGGTCCCGTGACTTGTAATTCTCTGTACCTGACAGACGAACGCCTTTGAGCAGTGACAGCTTTAGCAGAGGGGGAGAAATAAATCAGCCGGCTGAGCTGTGCTAAGAAAGCGAGCAACTTTATTGGTCTATGGATCTGGAGAGAGGTTGATTAAGTAAGATTTGGAATCCCCCATGGTTGTTTTACAAGGCGCTTTATCCCAGAGACCGACCGCGCTCCCCCCGTATTACCATAACCTCCGTGGAACAGTGAGGAGTGAGTTACATGGTGTTTAGGATGGGAAACAAAAATATATCTCTTTATGGTCTGGGAACAAGGTGAGTATGACATCCTAGGAGGCCCCTGGGTGCCAAAGCCTATATTAGAGGAAGTTCACAGGTGACTTTCCACAGCAGTGATAAAAGTCCTTGATCGCTTGAAGGAAAAAACAAAAACAAACAAAACCGAAAAATGCCTTGAGTTGCTGAGCCCATTTTATGAGAAAATATTTAGAAGAAGTAGGACTGGCCAGAGGTTAGCTTGTTAGCTAACAGAAGTCTGGGCTTACTTGGCAAGCTAGGGGAAAACCCCAGAATGCAACGGGCAGCAGTTAAACAGCAGACACTCGAACAAACTGCTTTTAATTATATTTATGTCCTAAGAGAATCAATTTGCTATCAAATAACTAATGTGCTAATTATTCACTGGCCTGTTGGTTGAAGCAAGTCCCCCAAAGACTTCATTCGAGGAAACAGTTTGGTCTTGTAGAATAGTTAGACGTTATAAAACGGAGCCTTCAAACTTCAAAAGCCAGATAGTCAAGGTTTGTCTTCCTTCCAATTACCAGAAAGAAACTATTAAATTCAGAAATGTATTTGTAAAAAAAAGTCAGACAGGGAAGAGCAGAGTTCCAGTGAAGTCGAAGGAAGGGGAAGCCATGCCGACCGGTGTCTCTGCTCCGAGGAGTGGGCTGAGGGTCTCAGGGTCCTCCAGAAGCTCCTATCATCGGGTTTCAGGGTCAAGAACACCATTCAGAGCACGTCACCACCTTGCTATGGTTTCACCGCAGTGGTTAGAAAAGGCAGGAATTAAGTGACCTTTCGTATCCCCAGCCTCTGCCTAAAGACACAGACTTCCTCAGTTCCTAAACTTCATCAGTGTCTACCTCATTCTCCATCACACCATGTCTCCACAGACAGGGACACTTGATTGGTCCTCCCCTCTGACCCCCATGAAGCAGAGCCTATAGGGACATGGGACCTTTGCTGGTTTCAGAAGCCGCTGTGCCAAGGTGGATAAAGGCAGGGCACAGTCTTGCTGTGGCAAAGACCTGAGCAATTTGTCGCAGCCACAGGAGACTTCTAAAATATCTTTCCCAGAAGCTGTGCCTCCAGGAGCATTTGTGTGGCGGCAGGGCACCTGCCTCGGAGCGCAGAACTATCCAGGCTCCCTGCCACAACGGGAGCAAGAACGTCAGGGGGTCGAGCACGTAAACCACAGCACTGAGATCTGACGCAGAACACAAATCCTGGGGATGTTCACTGCCGGAACTCTTGGTCTGGGCCAATCACCAAGATTCCTGAGGTAGAGGCAGGGTAAGAGCTGCATTTCTCCTTTCCTGTGGAGACAGAGTTCACCCTTCCCCGCTTCCCCCTGCCCGCTCTGGCTGACGCTCCTGCGGTCTTTCACTCAGGAGCAGGGTTCAAGGGCTTCTTCCACCTCATTTCCCGTCCCCACACGGAACCGAAATCTTCCTCTCTCGCTCTTAGTCTAGACCAGCACTGGAATAAGAATCCTAGCACAGACTGTAAGCCAATGGTTTGCGGCAAGGATTGTTGCACTGCTAACAGGCCCTGAGGTTTAGGGATCAGTCATGAATGGCATAGCCCAAAAGAGACGCCTCATTTTTCTAAGGCTGATGTTGAAAACCGGTGGCTGCTTCCCCAGCAGATGCTTCCAAGTCCACCTGTTCAGGCTTTAAACAGACGCCCAGCATCAGCCAGCTGGCAGGGACACTTTAGCCCTAGCTCACCCCATGTACTTCCATAACTGCCTTCTCCCACTCCCCAACCCCCGGTCTACAAGGCATGCACCCTTCTTTGCCATTGGAATCCTGCATCCAGACACATTCTAGCTTCCCATAAAAACCATTGTCTCACCAACAGGAAGAGCTGAGTTCCAGTTCTTGGAGCAAACTGCTATCTCAGGAAAAGGCAAACCCGGGCAGTGTTTGAGGGGAAAAAGACAGATAAAGACCACTTCCCTCCGACACAACAAGCCCTGAGAGCCGCCTGCGCTGGATCCGCTGCAGCTAGACCCCTGCTCTAGGACAGAAGAACTATCACAAAACTTTCAGACGTGACTATTTGGGGATGATAGTGGTCTCGAGCTGAATACCGTGAGAACTGGCTGGCCCGGTAGAGCGTTCAACTTTCCTGCCTCACCTTGAGGATGCTAATGAAAAGCGGATCCTGAACTAGATACCTTCTATTTGGGAACACTCATTGAGAAATGACCACGGGGCCCTTAGCGCTTCTTTGTTAAGGCTGAAATACTCGAAGCTTTTCTCTTCACAAAGCCCTCCATGACGGTTGTCTGCAGCTCTCCCCTCTCTTCCTGTTTTACGGTACACAGTGAAACCGCACCAGGGTCTTCTGATTACAGACCCTCTGCTGATCCTGGTGCCTCCCGAGGAGGGATGGAACGGAAATGTCCATCTTGTCTGTCTTGTTTTGCAGAGGAAGGTGTGCCATGATCCGTGTGCAGTGGATAATGGCTTTTCTCTTCCCCAGATTTGCTGTCTGTTGTTTTGAAGGGAAGTCGGGGCCAGATTTTAGGATCCCTTGGATTTGAAGAGATAACATTGATTATAGGCAGTGGTGCTTTCTGATAAAAAGAAATACATAGTTTCAAATAGTCCCATAATGAGTCACTCCTGAGTAGTCAGAAATACATTTCCTGTTATTATTCTTTGGAACTTGAATTAATAACTGCATGTAAAATGACTGCTTTGAGAATCTACTTTGAGTGTAAACAAAGTATCAAAATTGCTCAAGCACAATCTTTAGAGACACACTAGCAGAGGATCAGTCTCAAAAGGAGCATGTCCTAGCTCCATCTCCACTCCCCCGAAACAGTGACAGCCCGGCACACAGGTCAGATAAAAGTCTGTCAACAAGTATGCAGGACACAGATTAACGTTAATCCAGCCTCTTCTTTGGCAAAAAGCAGATACCACATGTCACTGATGCATGTCACAAAGGCCTCGTCTAAATATCCAGTGAAGCTTCAAGATCTTAAAGGGGGAAAAAAAATCCAAGTTATCTTGATGACATATCTCGCTGCCCTGCCACTGAACTACTTTGTAACGCTGGGCTTGCCTTGTAAGAAATCTGGAAAATGTTGTTGCAGACTAGTCTACTTACCTTGCAGGGGCCCTGTGAAAGTCACATCAGACTGTCCCTCGGCAACCACTATGTCAGCTCACTAAGAGATGAATACCCTGTGGCTGGCAGGCAGTAGCTTCAGCAAGTTTGGGAGTTTGGCTAAGCTGAAAAAGGGAGAAAGGAAAACAATGGACAGGTGAGAGGGACCAGAATCCCCTCCGCTTTTACATGTGACTCTCAGTCTCTCCACCATGGCTTCATACTCAGTCCTCAAACAAATTCCTGCATCGCATCTCATCTGGCCTCTCCGAGACACTTGCTGCCTTTTCTCCGCCCTGGGGAAGAGGCCACCACTTTGTCTCAAAGGAAGATCGCATATTGTCTTCTCTGGAGGATGGAGAAAGAGACAGGGGTGCAGGAAAACAAAACCTATTGGAGATAACAGGGCTTCCTGTAGGCCCGAAAGGAAAAGAGACCTGTGACCCCAAGTCTGTAAGTCCCATCTCCCTTGTAGCTCTTTGGAGAGGTAGCAGGGACTGAGCCAGAAATCAGAGCTGGGGTAAAGCTTTGCAAAGAATCGGTATAGCACCTTAGTGGTCTCCTGTATGATTAGAGGACCTCCCCCCACCCAGAGCATATTTTGAATGAATGTCCAGGAGTTGGGGACATCATTCCCAGGAGACCTAAGGTTGAGTTTCAACCCAGCAAATTGGCTATCACAGAAAACTAAAATTTAAGAAACAAAAGGAGCATGCATTTCTTATGCCCTACCATGGCTGTGGCGCTTACCTGCATTCTTTCCAGAACATTCTTTAAGAAATCTCTGCTTTCCATGGATACTCCAGACTTTAGAAAAAAGAGTTCTAAGGCTTAACACAAGTTTTCTGAAATTACCCCCTGCCCTGTCCCCGGTCTACTCTGGGAAATACCAGCCTGGCAGATACTTCCTCTATCATCTGAAATTCAACCCTGAAATTCCCACTCCGCCCACAACGCTTCCCAGCAAACCTGGAGTAGAAAAGGTTTTATCTTTCTATTATGCACACCATAAACACACCAAGAAAGAGAAACCAAACTTTACAACGAGCAAACACTGCAGAGTGTTAGCAGGCATGAAGCTGTGCTGAGCCCTGCCTACCAACAAAGGCTCTCAGACATGCTGTTTTTCTTTAACACTGAAAAAAAAAATGAGAATTAAGTTTAAAAATTAAGAATTAGTTAAATTAGGATATGTTAATCAGTTTGTCAAAAAATATCACACAAATAATCAGCAGAACTGGGATTAGGATCCAGCTCTGGGGCTGGGGGTCCGTGGTCAGCATGGGTGAGGCTTCGAGTTCTCTGGGTGAAGAATTTTTAGTTATCTGATCTTATTTAGCAGCATGCTCTGATTTCTCGGACGCATGTGTAAAGACTCTGAAGCATGACCATCGCCATGTTTGTTTAGCTCCAGGAAAAGCTGTGATCTTTAGTAGTGTCCACTGGGTTACGACTGAACTGTGCCAATGGGTTCACTTACTGTGACGAGCAGGGCGGGGCCCTGGTAACAGGTCGTACTGTGTTGGATGTGGTGCTGTGCTTTGATGTTTGGAGTTTGTCAGACCTTCACTTCTGCACTCCAAAAAGTGCCACGACTTCATTTGTCCCACGCTCCACCTGCCGAAGCAAATGACAGGAGAGTGGTTATCACCCATCCTAAGGGCGTCACAGACTTGGAAAATGCCAACAGTGGAGGCCAGTGACAGATACTACGGAACCTTACCACCTCACATCCAGGGGCACCTCTCTCTGTTCTCTGTCACCAGATGGAGGGGACCTGCAGATTCCTGAACTCAGCAGCAGGTTTCTGGGGAAGGGGACCCTCTCTCATACCGTTGATCATGAGCTGAGCCTCAAGCAGATGGACAGAGGTCTTATCGAAGAATGAGTTGGCAGCTGAGAGCATCCCTATGGCCATCCTCCTTCTCAGAGTTGGTCCCCAGCAGCAGCTGGATCAGGAAATAACCTCAGCCATTTGGCAGTCAGGGTCACACAGGCCTTCATAGGCAGGAATGCGTGCTGATATTTAGGTTCCAGGGCTAGATGAGTCATCTGGGAATTGACCAGCTAGACCACAATTCTTTCTCAAATGTGCTCTAACCTGTGTGGAGATCTGGGAACCTGCTGGCACCCAACTGTGAAGATCATAGAGACTTCTCCAAGGCCTGCGATTTCTGAAGGGTCACCCTGCCCTGTAGAAAGAAAGATTTGTCTAAAATCTACAAAATGCTAGAGTGCTGTCGAGCTGTCTTGTATCAACCTCTGGGCTGGTGGATCTCAGTCTATGAAAGAAGGCCTCAGTGGTTCCCTGTCACTGCAACACGAAACCACTGTGCTGATCCTTCCCGGGTAAAATACCACCTCCTAGTTGAGATGGCAACCTCTAACTGAATCAAGACAAAAACATGTGGCTAAGCTTAGGCCAGCTGCTATAACAAACTACCATAGGCCATGAACTTTATAACCAACAGAGACTCATTTCTCATGGTCAGCAAACCAGGAAGTCCATGGTTAGAGTACCAGCAGATTCTGTGCCTGGTGAGCATCTGCATTCTGGGTCCTGGAAGGAACCTTTGTGATATAGCTCATATATTGAGAGGAGTGAGCTAGCTCCTGGGGCCTCTTTCACGGGGACACTAATCCCATTCCTAAAGGCCTTGACCTCATAGCCAAATCACTGCCCTACACCTCACCATGACTGTAGGTGAGCAGATTTCTGCAAGGCCACAGCCATCCGGCACTCTGCATCACAGACCGCTTTGCTGTGTCTTTATCTCCCCACGCCTTAGCTCCCGATCTTAATGAGAGCACAGTGTTCTAGCTGAGAGGGCCGTTTTGAGAGATCGCTTGAAAGCGCATGTTGAAATAGTATCCTTAAGCACAGCGCTCGGCCCGTCCTGAGATTCCAGCAGACTCAGGCTGCTTTCCCGGATCCACCGCCATGCCTTCCAAATGCTCACATTCAAAGGGAAGGGAAAGACGATGCTTCTTTGTCACTCACAGCAAAACAGGAAGTAGACACGACCACAGAGGTTCCAGGCTGCTGCTCGGCCTATGCTGAGGGCCATATGTTCCAGCCATCCATGGGTAATGTGAGATCACATAGAGGCACGCAGAGGGGTACAGCTGGCTAGGATGCCAGTCACCACAGGCTAAAGGGGCAAAGCTTCAAGCTATGAGGCTCCAAACAGTGGTCTGCAGAGAAGGCAGCTGGGGCTGAGAGAAGCCATCAATTTCCCTTCCATTTCGATTTGAAGGAGACGCTTCCTTAGTCCAGAAAGGGTCACTCCTTGTTGCAACAGTATCTGACAGGAAAGTGACTTGAAGGTTCACTTGGGCTTAACTACTGGGAAATAATTTCAGAAAAAGGCCAGAGCCATGGAGACAGCTTGGCTCCCTGTGCTGAGAGGGTGACCTCAGCCGTGCAGATCAATTCCAAAGACTCCATCGCCCCTCAAACAATGTTTTACTAGCTTGTAGAATGTTCCAGAGCTCTGTCCATCCAGACTCCTCCTGGGGGCCGTCCAGGGCATTCTGGAAAGTTACAGTAAGAAAGTGTCTGTCCAGTTCTCCTGCACCCAGAGCCTAATTTCTTTTTAGATTTAGTCTAATTTCTTTCTGCTGTGTGATTCACTGTTAAATGGGAACACTTGTTTCAGCCTTACTATTAAATGTCATGCAAAAGAGCATGGAAGAAGGAGCCAAGTCTAGATTGCAATTGGAAAGCCTGCCCCAGCTGGATGATGACCGAGCATTGAAGTGGCCTCTGTGCCTTCCTGTGCCCTCACTGGGTCACTGGGCAAGCTCTGCCTACAGGCATCCTTGTTTTCGTCCTCAGAGTTAGCAAAGCAACCTCAATAAAGATAGGAGATGTGCTGCTTGCTAACACTTAGCAGAAGAGCTGTTTGGTCAGCACTTTCTGTCCAGACATTCTTGCTGTCATTGTCAGGAAAAGAAAATGGGGTTCAGGACAGTAAACAAGAGTGCAGATGGAAGGGTCTGAAGACATCAGGAAGCGCTCTTGAGTCTGTGAAGACCTGGTGTTATTTAGGGACTTGGTCCCGGGAGGCAGAGACAGCACTTCAAATCTAATCAAACTTTTGCTACCAACCATGACTCCTTTATAGAGGAATGCAAGCTAGGTTTGCAAAAAGCACATGGAAATATATAATGTCTGACTTGTTGCTAACAGAGCCGAGTTCAGTCTCATTATTGCTGTTTTCCAGGCGAGGAACCAGACGCTGGGAGAAGGTACCTTGCCCAATGTCATCCAGCTAATAAGTAGTAAAAACAGACCACCCAGCCACCTAGCTCATCTGAGTCCAAGTGAATGCTCTTTGCTCTACATTTCCGAACTTCACAAATAGATGAGTTAACCAGAGCTTGTGTCATTGGACATCAAAGGAGACATTTGTCGAAAGACTAAACATGTACTTGGGCAGCTGAGTTGTAGAGGAGGGGTTCACTAAAGCTCCCCCACCTACTCACACATGATGTGAATGGCAGTGGCTCTCTAGAGGAGATGCCTCCAAGATGCCTGGCCTGGAGGGGCGCTAGAAGTCTGGCCCTTCCCAGTAATCCCCTTGAGGCTGATGGCCAACCAAATAGTCCACCTGGACCTGAGATCCCAGAACCTCAGGGAACCCCTGGGCTTCCAGTCTTCTGGATGTTAGGATATGGTCCTAAGGGGTACAAACCTGGGTCTGTTTCCAGGGTACCGTTCACACAGACCCAGAGTGCTTCTCTCTGCTCTCAATCTGCCCAGAACTGAGGTGAAGAGGGGACAAGACGGCAATTCCGGGTGTTAACCTCCAGTATAGATGCCGCCTACTCGGTAGCCAGACCACAGCGCAAGGTAGCTCATTTTGGCCGACACAGTCCCAGTCCCAGAGGATCCTAAGGAAAAGAGGCAGGAAACCAGGAGGCAAGGAAAGCACACTGTCCTCCAAGGACAATCAAGGCTATGTGTTCCCAGACATGGGCCCTCCCACCTAATCAAAGCCAGGGTCCCTCCACTGAAAAGAACTTTTCTCCAGGAAAACGGGAACGCAGTTGCTTTGAGGTTAAATTTAGATTTCACCCACAGGGGACAGGCTCTGGTTCTCTGCGGCTGGGGACAGAACAAGAACAAGGTTCAGTGTCTCTCCTGGCTCGGGCCAGCTTCAGGAGTCTTGGACCATGTTTGCTTTTGGTCACTGCCCATGTCTCAGCTCTGCTTTGACTTCACCAGGGAGCAGTCACTCAACACCCACTGCTCCAAAGACTGAGGCTCAAAGTCAGCACAGAACGACCGAAGGCTAAGCCTCCTCCCCACCCAGATAAACTAAGGGTATTTTGGGAATACACACATCATTGAGAAGGCAACACTTTGCAAAGAAACTAAATCAGTATAATACAGAAAATGGAATGATTCCAAAGAAAGAGGAATAAATTACCACAATTACGCAGGGCAATGGTGAGAGTACCAGGCAGAAGCGGGGTTTTCTTGGTGCAGGACTCTTTCCTGCGTCTCTATCCCACCTGCAATGACCTCTCTCATCCACCGGTGCCTTTCAGGGCAGTTCAAAGCAAGCATGGCAGATCATCAGAAAGTCAATGGGGGCGTGACTGTGGTCGCCACCAAAGCAAGCCAGACAAGGTCTTTTGTGTCTCTGATCTTCTTTCTCAAATAAGAGGGAAGACACGGATGGGGATGCTTTCAATGTTCAAGATCCTGTTCTCAGCCTAACCACACTCCATCCTGTCCCCATCAGTACCGACAAATCCAGGAAGGGCCGGCAAACCTGGAGGCTGGTCACAAGCTAGTTGATGCTTCCTTAATTCCTAGCCGTTATCACTAATAGAACAACCAGTTCCCCCTTCTTTATTTTCAGGGGAAGCAGGGCCGCCTCACTCCAGAAGAGGTGTCAGGGCTTCCT